CTCCGAAGTCTCGGACTCGAGGACGGCCTCCTCCTCCGGAATCTCAGGCTCGTCCTCCTCCGAAGTCTCGGACTCCGGCCTCCTCCTCGGAATCTCAGGCTCGTCCTCTCCGAAGTCTCGACTCGAGGACGGCCTCCTCCTCCGGAATCTCAGGCTCGTCCTCCTCCGAAGTCTCGGACTCGAGGACGGCCTTCCTCCTCCGGAATCTCAGGCTCGTCCTCCTCCGAAGTCTCGGACTCGAGGACGGCTCCTCCTCCGGAATCTCAGCTCCCTCCTCCGAAGTCTCGACTCGAGACGGCCTCCTCCTCCGGAATCTCAGGCTCGTCCTCCTCCGAAGTCTCGGACTCGAGGACGGCCTCCTCCTCCGGAATCTCAGGCTCGTCCTCCTCCGAAGTCTCGGACTCGAGGACGGCCTCCTCCTCCGGAATCTCAGGCTCGTCCTCCTCCGAAGTCTCGGACTCGAGGACGGCCTCCTCCTCCGGAATCTCAGGCTCGTCCTCCTCCGAAGTCTCGACTCGAGACGGCCTCCTCCTCCGAATCTCAGGCTCGTCCTCCTCCGAAACTCCTCCTCCTCCGGAATCTCAGAAGTCTCGACTCGAGGACGGCCTCCTCCTCCGGAATCTCAGGCTCGTCCTCCTCCGAAGTCTCGGACTCGAGGACGGCCTCCTCCTCCGGAATCTCAGGCTCGTCCTCCGAAGTCTCGGACTCGAGGACGGCCTCCTCCTCCGGGCTCGTCCTCCTCCGAAGTCTCGACTCGAGGACGGCCTCCTCCTCCGGACTCAGGCTCGTCCTCCTCGAAGTCTCGGACTCGAGGACGGCTCCTCCTCTCCGGACTCGATCCTCCTCCTCGACTCGTCCTCCTCCGAAGTCTCGGACTCGAGGACGGCCTCCTCCTCCGGAATCTCAGGCTCGTCCTCCCCGAAGTCTCGGACTCGAGGACGGCCTCCTCCTCCGGAATCTCAGGCTCGTCCTCCTCGAAGTCTCGGACTCGAGGACGGCCTCCTCCTCGGAATCTCAGGCTCGTCTCCTCCGAAGTCTCGGACTCGAGGCCTCCTCCTCCGGATCTCGTCGAGGACGGCCTCCTCCTCCGGAATCTCAGGCTCGTCCTCCTCCGAAGTCTCGGACTCGAGGACGGCCTCCTCCTCCGGAATCTCAGGCTCGTCCTCCTCCGAAGTCTCGGACTCGAGGACGGCCTCTCCTCCGGAATCTCAGACTCGAAGTCTCGGACTCGAGGACGGCCTCCTCCTCCGGAACTCACTCATCCTCCTCCGAAGTCTCGGACTCGAGGACGGCCTCCTCCTCGGAATCTCAGCTCGTCCTCCTCCGAAGTCTCGGACTCGAGGACGGCCTCCTCCTCCGGAATCTCAGACTCATCCTCCTCCGAAGTCTCGGACTCGAGATCGGCCTCCTCCTCCGGAATCTCAGGCTCGTCCTCCTCCGAAGTCTCGGACTCGAGGACGGCCTCCTCCTCCGGAATCTCAGGCTCGTCCTCCTCCGAAGTCTCGGACTCGAGGACGGCCTCCTCCTCCGGAATCTCAGGCTCGTCCTCCTCCGAAGTCTCGGACTCGAGGACGGCCTCCTCCTCCGGAATCTCAGGCTCATCCTCCTCCGAAGTCTCGGACTCGAGGACGGCCTCCTCCTCCGGAATCTCAGGCTCCTCCGAAGTCTCGGACTCGAGGACGGCCTCCTCCTCCGGAATCTCAGGCTCGTCCTCCTCGAAGTCTCGGACTCGAGGACGGCCTCCTCCTCCGGAATCTCAGGCTCGTCCTCCTCCGAAGTCTCGGACTCGAGGACGGCCTCTCCTCCGGAATCTCAGACTCATCCTCCTCGAAGTCTCGGACTCGAGGACGGCCTCCTCGGGAATCTCAGACTCGTCCTCCTCCGAAGTCTCGGACTCGAGGACGGCCTCCTCCTCCGGAATCTCAGGCTCGTCCTCCTCCGAAGTCTCGGACTCGAGGACGGCCTCTCCTCCGGAATCTCAGGCTCGTCCTCCTCCGAAGTCTCGGACTCGAGGACGGCCTCCTCCTCCGGAATCTCAGGCTCGTCTCCTCCGAAGTCTCGGACTCGAGGACGGCCTCCTCCTCCGGAATCTCAGGCTCGTCCTCCTCCGAAGTCTCGGACTCGAGGACGGCCTCCTCCTCCGGAATCTCAGGCTCGTCCTCCTCCGAAGTCTCGGACTCGGGACGGCCTCCTCCCCGGAATCTCAGCTCTCCTCCTCCGAAGTCTCGACTCGAGTCCTCCTCCTCAGACTCTCCTCCTCCGAAGTCTCGGATCGATCCTCCTCCGAAGACTCGAGGACGGCCTCCTCCTCCGGAATCTCAGGCTCGTCCTCTCCGAAGTCTCGGACTCGAGGACGGCCTCCTCCTCCGGTCTCAGGCTCGTCTCCTCCGAAGTCTCGGACTCGAGGACGGCCTCCTCCTCCGGACAGGCTCGTCCTCCTCCGAAGTCTCGGACTCGAGGACGGCCTCCTCCTCCGGAATCTCAGGAAGTCTCGGACTCGATCCTCCTCCGAAGTCCTCGGACTCGAACGGCCTCCTCCTCCGGAATCTCAGGCTCGTCCTCCTCCGAAGTCTCGGACTCGAGGACGGCCTCCTCCTCCGGAATCTCAGGCTCGTCCTCCTCCGAAGTCTCGGACTCGTCCTCCTCCGTCCTCTCCTCCGAAGTCTCGTCCGGCCTCCTCTCGAAGTCTCGGACTCGAGACGGCCTCCTCCTCCGGAATCTCAGACTCGTCCTCCTCCGAAGTCTCGGACTCGAGGACGGCCTCCTCCTCCGGAATCTCAGGCTCGTCCTCCTCCGAAGTCTCGGACTCGAGGACGGCCTCTCCTCCGGAATCTCAGACTCATCCTCCTCCGAAGTCTCGGACTCGAGGACGGCCTCCTCCTCCGGAATCTCAGGCTCGTCCTCCTCCGAAGTCTCGGACTCGAGGACGGCCTCCTCCTCCGGAATCTCAGGCTCGTCCTCCTCCGAAGTCTCTCGGACTCGAGGACGGCTCCTCCTCCGGAATCTCAGGAAGTCTCGGACTCGAGGCCTCCTCGGAATCTCAGACTCATCCTCCTCCGAAGTCTCGGACTCGAGGACGGCCTCCTCCTCCGAATCTCAGGCTCGTCCTCCTCCGAATCTCGGACTCGAGGACGGCCTCCTCCTCCGGAATCTCAGGCTCGTCCTCCTCCGAAGTCTCGGACTCGAGGACGGCCTCCTCCTCCGGAATCTCAGGCTCGTCCTCCTCCGAAGTCTCGGACTCGAGGACGGCCTCCTCCTCCGGATCTCGTCTCCTCGAAGTCTCGACTCGAGACTCTCCTCCTCCGCTCAGCTCCCTCCTCGAAGTCTCGGACTCGAGACGGCCTCCTCCTCCGGAATCTCAGGCTCGTCCTCCTCCGAAGTCTCGGACTCGAGGACGGCCTCCTCCTCCGGCTCAGCTCGTCCTCCTCCGAAGTCTCGGACTCGAGGACGGCCTCCTCCTCCGGAATCTCAGGCTCGTCCCTCCGAAGTCTCGGACTCGAGGACGCCTCCTCCTCCGGAATCTCAGGCTCGTCCTCCTCCGAAGTCTCGGACTCGAGGACGGCCTCCTCCTCCGGAGTCTCAGGCTCGTCCTCCTCCGAAGTCTCGGACTCGAGGACGGCCTCCTCCTCCGGAATCTCAGAAGTCTCGGACTCGAGGACGGCCTCCTCCTCCGGAATCTCAGGCTCGTCCTCCTCCGAAGTCTCGGACTCGAGGACGGCCTCCTCCGGAATCTCAGGCTCGTCCTCTCCGAAGTCTCGGACTCGAGACGGCCTCCTCCTCCGGAATCTCAGGCTCGTCCTCCTCCGAAGTCTCGGACTCGAGGACGGCCTCCTCCTCCGCTCTCCGGAATCTCGGAAGTCTCGGACTCGAGGACCTCCTCCTCCGAGTCTCAGCTCCCTCCTCCGAAGTCTCGGACTCGAGGACGGCCTCCTCCTCCGATCTCAGACTCATCCTCCTCCGAAGTCTCGGACTCGAGGACGGCCTCCTCCTCCGGAATCTCAGGCTCGTCCTCCTCCGAAGTCTCGGACTCGAGGACGGCCTCCTCCTCCGGAATCTCAGACTCGTCCTCCTCCGAAGTCTCGGACTCGAGGACGGCCTCCTCTCCGGATCTCAGGAAGTCTCGGACTCGAGGACGGCCTCCTCCTCCGAGTCTCAGGCTCGTCCTCCTCGAAGTCTCGGACTCGAGGACGGCCTCCTCCTCCGGAATCTCAGACTCATCCTCCTCCGAAGTCTCGGACTCGAGGACGGCCTCCTCCTCCGGAGTCTCAGGCTCGTCCTCCTCCGAAGTCTCGGACTCGAGGACGGCCTCCTCCTCCGGAATCTCAGACTCATCCTCCTCCGAAGTCTCGGACTCGAGGACGGCCTCCTCCTCCGGAATCTCAGACTCGTCCTCCTCCGAAGTCTCGGACTCGAGGACGGCCTCCTCGAGGAATCGGCTCGAGGTCCTCGTCTCAGGCTCGTCCTCCTCGAAGTTCTCGGACTCGAGCCTCCTCCGGTGTCTCGGCTCTGGACTCTCGGCCTCCGGGCTCGAAAACGGCCTCCTCCTCCGGAGCCTCCATCTTTGGGGCTCGAGGACAGCCTCCTCTCCGAGGTCTTCATCTCGGACTCTGAGGACAGCCTCCTCTGGAGTCCTCAGGCTCGTCCTCGAAGTCTCGGACTCGAGGACGGCCTCCTCCTCCGGATCTCAGTTCGTCCTCCTCCAGTTCTCGGACCGAGGACGGCCCTCCTTCTCCGATCTCCATCCACGGGTCCGGTTCCTCTCTTCTCTCGGATTTCTTAGGCTTCCTCCTCCGAAGCTTTTCGACGACTCGAGACGGGCCTCCATATCGGGCTCTAAAACGGCCTCCTTTCCGTTAGCTCCATCTCTGACTCGAGGACGGCCTCCTCCGGATTTCCTCGTCCTCCTCCGATAAAGTCTCTCATTTCGAGGGTTCTTCCTCCTCCGGAGTCTTCGGCTCCTCCTCCGAAGTCTTTTCTGAGGGGGCACTCTCTCCGGAGTCTCAGGGCTTCTCCTTCCGAAGTCTCGGATCGAGGACGGCCTCCTCCTCCGGAGTCTTCAGACTTCGTCCTCCCTCCGATCTCCCTCGAGGAGCCTCATTGGGTCGGGAGCCTCCATTTCGGCTCGAAACGGATCTCGGCGAGGACGTCCCTCCTCTTCCGGAGCCTCCATTCTCGGGCTCGAGGACGGCCTCTCTCGCGGAGCGCTCCATCTCGGGCTCGAGGACGGCCCTCCTCCTTCCATCTCTCGAGGACGCTCTCATCCATTTCTCGGGCTCGAGGACGGGCCCTTCTTCCGGAGCCTCCATCTCGGGCCGAGGGACGGCCTCTCCTCCGATCTCCATCTCGGCTCGAGGACGGCCTCCTCTCGGAGTTCCATCTCGGCTCTCTGAGGACTCCTCCTCCTTCCGGAGCCTCTTTTCGTCGGGACGGCCTCGGGTCTCTCCTCTGAGGAGTCCCTCCATCTCGGGCTCGATCTGCCTCCTCTCTGGAGCCTCCATTTAATCGGGCTCGAGGACTGGCCTCCTTCCTTCGGATCTCGGGGCTTCGAGGACGGCCTCCTCCTCCGGTAGGCTCCATCTCAGGGGCTCGAGGCGGCCTCCTGGCCTCTCTCACTGGGCTCGGACTCGGCTTCCCTCCTCCGGATGCTCCTCCATCTCGGTCTCGAAGGACGTCCTCCTCCTCCGGAAGCTCCCATCTCGGTCTCGAGACGGCCTCCTCCTCCGGAGCCTCCATCTCGGGCTCGAGGATCGCCTCCTCCTCCGGAGCCTCCATCTCGGGCTCGAGGACGGCCTCCTCCTCCGGAGCTCCTCCATCTCGGGCTCGAGACGGCCTCCTCCTCCGGAGCCTCCATCTCGAGGACGGCCTCCTCCTCGGGAGCGCTCCATCTCGGGCTCGAGACGGCCTCCATCCTCCGGAGCTCTCTCTCGGGCTCGAGGACGGCCTCCTCCTCCGGAGCCTCCATCTCGGGCTCGAGGACGGCCTCCTCCTCCGGAGCCTCCATCTCGGGCTCGAGGACGGCCTCCTCCTCCGGAGCCTCCATCTCGGGCTCGAGGACGGCCTCCAGCCTCCATCTCGGGCTCGAGGACGGCTCCTCTCTCCATCGGGCTCGAGACGGCCTCCAGCCTCCATCTCGGGCTCGAGGACGGCCTCCAGCCTCCATCTCGGGCTCGAGGAGCCTCCATCTCGGGCTCGAGGACGGCCTCCAGCCTCCATCTCGGGCTCGAGGACGGCCTCCAGCCTCCATCTCGGGCTCGAGGACGGCAGCCTCCATCTCGGCTCGAGGACGGCCTCCAGCCTCCATCTCGGCTCGAAAACGGCCTCCAATCTCGGGCTCGAGGGCCTCCATCTCGGGCTCGAGGACGGCCTCATCGGGCTCGAAAACGGCCTCCAGGGCTCCATCTCGGGCTCCACCTCCATCTCGGGCTCGAGACGGCCTCCATCTCGGGGGGCTCCATCTCGGCTCGAGGACGGGGCCTCCATCTCGGGCTCGAGGACGGCCTCCTCTCCATCTCGGGCTCGAGGACGGCCTCCATCTCGGGCTCGAGGACGGCCTCCATCTCGGGCTCGAAAACGGCCTCCATCTCGGGCTCGAAAACGGCCTCCAATCTCGGGCTCGAGGAGGCCTCCATCTCGGGCTCGAGGACGGCCTAAATCTCGGGCTCGAAAACGGCCTCCTCCTCCGGGGGGCTCCATCTCGGGCTCGAGGACGGATCCATCTCGGGCTCGAGGAGGCCTAGCCTCCATCTCGGGCTCGAGGATGGCCTTCTCCTCCGGAGCCTCCATCTCGGGCTCGAGGATGGCCTCCTCCTCCGGAGCCTTCATCTCGGGCTCCATCTCGGGCTCGAGGATGGCCTCCTCCGGAGCCTGCATCTCGGGCTCGAGGATGGCCTTCTCCTCCGGAGCCTGCATCTCGAGCTCGAGGACGGCCTCCTCAATTTTAAAGGTGGCCTTTTTCGGTTGTTTTTCGGCCTTGAGGGGCTCATTCGCGGTCATGAAGGGTGCCTTCGAGGACGACCTCCTCCTCCGGAGCCTCCATCTCGTGCTCGAAAACGGCTTCCTCCTCCGGAGGACCTTGAGGGGAGTCTTGGTCTTCCTTGGCACCTTATAGGGCACCTTTTTGGGCACCTGGTCGAGCACTTGGGTAAGCTTAGCGCTCTGCTCCTTGATCAAGACCTTGATGTATTCCACGGCTGACTTGACGTTCACGAGCAGACCCCCCACGCTGACGGGTGCTGCGTCGCCTCGTGACATTCTGATCCCAACGTTGTACTCGTTCTTCAGCCACTGCAACAGCACGGGGAGCGCCACCTCCTCGGGCTCGAGCACCTAGGTAGGCTTATCGCCCTGCTCGGCGTGCACGGGCAGACCCACCACGCTAACGGGTGCTGCGTCGGTTCGTGGCATTCTGATCCCAACGTTGTACTACTTCTTCAGCCACTGCAACAGCACGGGGAGTGCCACCTCCTCGGGCTCGGCCACGCCCTCAGCGCGGCTGAACTC